CTACCAAAATAATACCATTAAAATTTATTTTAAAAAATCGTAGAAAATATTGTTACAAATATTATTAATATTATTATAATATTATTATTATAAGTACTATTATTAATATTATTATTAATATTATTATTATTTAATATTATTATTTAATATTATTAATATTATTATTTAATATTATTATTATTAATGTTATTATTATAATCGAAGAAATTAGCAATTAATAAAAGTAAATAGTAAAAGTTAATAAAAAATGTGTCGTCAAAGTTAGTAGTTAAGAGCCATAAGAGGACAAAAAGTCACGATTTTATTTCTTCTTTAATCTAGTTAAACCTAGCACTAAGAATGGAATACGAATAGTGCTGAAGGCTGTTCTATACGATTGTCTCTAAATAAGTGCTTTTCAGTGAATGAATCTTTTCCGAAAATAAAGCCAACCTAAGCAATAGCAAATACCAAAAATAATGAGTCTTTTCAAAAAAAAAATAACTAATTGAGGTAAGCATAGAAGAATCGCAAGAATTTTTATTTTCATATGAGAATCGCTTTGATTTACCAATTATAATAAAATTTTTTTTCTAAATATTTCACCCTAATCAATTTCATTCTGCTAGCTTCGAGCTGAATAAATTGCATCATTTGGTGATAAGAAACGATAAGTGGATCGTTAGCATCACTTGGATCTTTGAAGGATACCTTAGCATGAGTGGTCCGAAATGCGAGCAACAATTCACTGAGCCATTCTATCCTTATCATAAAACGAATTTATTTAATTAACAAATTATTTATCAGTTATCAAAAAATCATACTTCAGCATTTACAACAGTAGGCTGGTACGTCATAAGTATAGTATTTTCATCGAATATCTGATGATTATCAATACGTATTCGCGTATTACTGTTTCGATTTCGCTTCTTAGCAGAATAAGAAATATTTTCAAAATTATATTTTTTGCTTTCCATATTTGTTGATCACTTTCCTATTGTTGTAATTTCTTAAATTTATAATAATCATAAATTTTTAATAGTTCATTATCATATGATTTCTCTTTAGGTGATATTATGGTGAGAATTTTTAAAAAATTATAAATATTCATTAAAGATTGTAATAACATTAAAATGATAAATAATAAAATCATAAATAATGATTCATTCTAAAATTTTATTTATCATTTAAGTGAAAGTGAAATAAAAAAATAAACGATTTATAAGAAATCATTTAAAATCTCATTGAAAATCTGATAAATTTACTATTAATTCTATTAATTCACTATCACTTATAAGCTCAAAGTGTTCTATGAATTTTACTTCTATTCATTATCAGATAAAGAATAGAACTGAAAAATTATGAACTCGAAATGTCATGGCATTGGCTTATCAAAATTTTAATGATAACAGTTGATAAAATAATTCAACTTAACGCAAATTATTTGGATTTTTCAATAAATACACGGATTGCTGATTGCTGAGATGAACTGAACTGAATTCAACTGAAAATTTATCGCTGAATTAAACTGAACTTAATTTAATAAAAATTTCATTTGGTTTAATTTTCGACACGTTCATTCTACAAATATAGACGAATAAAACATGTAAATTGAGGCCTCTAATATCGATTCTAGAATCAAAAAAATTCGATGCAAAAATTTTTGAATATTATCAAAGATTTCTCTGCAATTGATTCGTCATGCCGAGAAATCAAAGTCTGTTATCATGATAATCAGCTATTGACTATCAGCTATTCATGTGCAATGTTGGTACTAACAATATATAAGAAAAAGCTAATTAGGATTAATTCGAAAAATTATACAAAGTGGATTGAAAAAAAAAAGGAAGATTTGGATCGACCATACTATTAATATTGGCTAATATTGGTAATCATTTTTAATCGAATCGAGGAAAAGTACAAAATTATAGATAAAATAAGAAAAAAATAGTTTATCTTATTTTAAAGCTGTAAATTAAATCAAATTAAAACTAAAAAAACTAAAAACTAAAAAAAGTAGGCTTAGGCTTAGGAAGAAACTAAAAAAATTAGGGGCTTTGGGCTTAGGCTTTGGGCTTAGGCAGGGAACGTGAAAAATACTATTCTCGCATAATTGATACTTTTTAAATCCGAAATAATTCTCATATAATTCATTTCATTTCGTTTAAAAACAAAAATTAATTAACAACGAAAATAAACGATGAAATGCGACAAACCATAAGCTAAACCTTGCAGTTAAAATAAATATTGGAATTATAGCAATCAATTATTATTGAAAAAAATAGCTTTTTTTTTCTTTGTACTAAATTTTTTATGTATTTTTCTAAAAATAATATAATTCTTTTTAGAGAAATAGAAAATAGAGAATATTTTTCGTGGACGAATATTGTAGAGACGAAATGTAGAAGAATCTTACTGCATATTTCGGATTGTTTTGTTATAAATGCATATAATGGATCTTTTTTTTTTTAAATTATTCACCTCATTAAACATAAATTTTTCGCATTCAGTATAGGCACAACTCCTCGGCAATGGTCGAGTAATGTTCAACCACTATGAGGTTCAATTCTTGTTCTTTCTTTTACAAAAGCAAATTTATCCTAAAAATTCATTCGCTTAGTTTCATCCTCAAATGGTTCTCTGGTGAAAAATTTCATTCCAGTAGCTGAAAAGAATGAAAAAAGCTTCTCAAATAGGATGTAACTAAACGAAAAACAATAAAACAATAAAAATTTTCGAGAATAGTCGATTAGATGAATGAAAAAGCAACGATTAAGAAAATCTATTTTCGAGAATGGAATAAGAAAAAAATCACTTTTGTGACTGAGAAGAAAAATTTTATTATATAGTCAATTTAATTTAAATTCATTAGACAAAAACGGAAAAATGATCTAACATCGATTTGCATTAGAATATGTCGATGCATCCACTAGTATCTCTCTCGTTATCAGTTAGTTATCAGCTGTATAAATTCGTAGATTCATATGGATATATGGATATAAACAGTTATAACAAATACGAACTAAAAAATTGATAATTGCAGCAATATTAAGATCAGCATTTCCTGTTAAAATTGATAAAAGTTTTCCAGATCCATTCGGAATCACTTTGTATTTGATCATTCAAGATAAGTTGAAGAAATATATCACTGTTCATTGTTTTTATAAAAATGTTTTTTTTAAATCCCCTGCAAAGTCTTTAAATTTGTTTCCTAGGATGGGATCATTTTGCCATGAAGTTCACCATTTCGGTTGAGAAGTATAGATGAATTTTCACTATTAACAGAATTTTACTTCTAAGTTTGAGTTTTACGGCCAACAAAAATTAGCATATGATGGCTAAATTATTTGAAGCCAATTTAATATTCGATCTTATCTGTTATAATAGAATTATAATTTTCAAATTGGTTTTCCACAGAAACTCGCTCTATCTCAACTTTGCACTGTTACTGAAAAATTAAAATTAATTTTTTTTTTTAGGAGCAGTATTTACCACTTCTTTTTGGCTTATCGGTCCAAGCAAATTTGTCATCCACGAGGTCATTTAGCGATCGACAACGCCTCGTAGATTTTTAAAGGACATATTTATTCAAACCAGTGAAATTTGCAACCCATTGGTTTATTCTACCTTTTTAAAATTTTATATATATACTTTGGATATTCGTTCACAGAAAAGTGGGATAAAAGCAAATGAATTAAAGTTTCCTATACAATAAATACAATAAATGTATATTTTATATATATATAAAATATACATTTATATATACATTTTTTTAAATAAAATAGCGAAATTCTTAAAAATAATTCTGCATAAACCTATCATAATTTTATAGATAATTTATTCATAATTTTTGGCTTTTTATCAAAAATTTTTTTTATATTATATTAAAACTTATGAACCATTTTTAAACACATTTAAAATCTAATTTACAAAATAATGAATGAATAGTGAATTATTTCGGTTTATGGACTGATTTTTTCCTTTGGATTTCGCTTGAACTTTACTAAATATCAATTTTTTCTCTTTTTGCATAAATAAATTGCAAAAATTTTAGTATTTTGAAAAATTAATAAATTATTATGGATTATAATTGCGATATTTTATAAAATGTGCATTGGGAGATTCGCAAATAATTTTAATTTTATTTTAATTTTAATAATTTTACAAATAATAAAAATTTAATAAAAATCAATCTGCAAATTTTAAAGAGAATTTTAGTTTTATTCAATATTTTTTACACAAGAAAATCATCTATATTAGAATTCTACAATCGTTGATTTTTAAGTGTTCATAATTTATTTTATAACGATGCAAATGCAATAATAAATGACAAATCGACAAACGCATACAATATTATCCGCAAATTTAAAGCAATTAACCCACTCTGTTATACTATTTCGTTGCATATTTTTATTCATTATAAGCTAAAAATATTCTTCGTCTCTTCTCTGATATAATATTTTTGGTTTTTTTTTAATAACATATTTCGATATTTTTATATTTTTGGTATAGAAAGAGAGGAGAATTATCAGTTGCACATGGATTTGATTTTTTTTCCTTTTATTTTTGTCAAATTGCATGAAAATAAATATTCCACAACATGAAATTAGTTGAAGCAAATATGCTATTAGACCATAATGTTTCATTTACAAAAGAAGAATAAAATTTTCGACAAAGATAGGAATTACAACGAATTATTATTAATTGACTTATAGAAATCATTCAATTGTAACAAAAGCTCTCTATGAGGATTACCGTTTTTTAAATCAAATCGTCGTGGCGACTTAATTATAATCAAAATTAATAAGTTACATCGGTTTAGAATTACATAGGTTTTATGCCAAAAAATTATACCCATAAGAAAATTTTATACTTCAATAAATAAATTGTGGATTTTAATAAAATAAGTTAAAACCAAAAAGTTTAAAAAATTAATTTTGCTAAAAAAATAATTTAATAAGATCAACAGTAGGAAAATTTTCAACGGTATAAGCCTATTTTTTGGTGCATTATATGTACCATTAGAGAATCGTATCGCAAAAATTTGAAATATTGAGAAAGTAAGCCACGTAAGCCATTTGCTTTAATGGTTTGGTGATTTTTCGCCATTTTCTAGTATTTTTAGTATGGACGGCACTGATAGCACAGTTATATCAGCTTATTCACGAGAGAGTCATTTGGTGATAGAAGTATGCGTGAATTTATTTCCAATAAATTTCACTTTTCACTTCCACATTTATTTTTAATGGCAGCTTTCGTTCAATAAAGGCACAGCCGAAACAACTCAATCACTTCGTGATTATAACAAAATAATAACGGTGCCAGTGTCACCTAAATCTGAGAAAGAAGCTGGAATCCTTAATGTTTTTAATGGAACCGCCGAAAATATTGCCTGCTTTTTATCATTATTATTCCTGTTCCCTAAAAGTGAAAAAAGACTTTTTGATAATTTGTCAATAAAAATTTACATAATCTTTTACATATTGAATGATAAATCATGCAGTGAATTTTCGCCTAAGGTCGCTTTTAATTCTTTCGGATTCGCAAGATCATATTCTTTTTTAACACGAGCTTTCTCCGATGGTTTCACATTTCGCCAGAGATATTGTACAAAAAATCGCTTCTTAAACGTTTCATTAGATGGATCATCGGTGATTTTTTCCATGAGTGTTACGATACGATGGAATGAAGTACATGTCTTCCAAAAACTATAGAATCGCATAATTTTGTATACTCGAGAAAGTGGAATTTGTTCACCTCGTTGTGGACTATTATAAGGAGAAGGAAGACATACTGAATCTCGTGATGCAAAAACCACTGAAGATCTTCGTAGTTCCATACGATTTGAGGTAATTTTTGCTGCAATAATCTTTCCTTTCGTACTTATACAACTGACTTTATGAAAGGTTCGCATATTGTCAGAATAAAAATATTTAGTAGGTTTGCTGGTATGACGCCACCATTTACTATCACCTAACATATCAGAATTACTAATATATTGACCATCGACAATGAAACAAAAGTTATCATCAACCATCGTTGGTGGTATTGCTTTACTCAGCACTGAACCATTAGCTTTTACCAAACATTCAAGTGCTGCTTCAGTTTGTACTGTATCATGATGAACACTGTGAACAGGAATATTGTTAAGAAATAAAATTGGTTCTTCACTTGACAGCAATGATTCTGGTGCAACACCTGAATCCATCAATTCGAAACCACCAAGATCAATGCTAAACGGTATACTTGAAGCTTCTGATCCAGATGATGATGCTCGAGAAGGACTGAAATAAATTACCTTATTTGAACATATTCTTTTCTACAGTAAAATGAATATCTCATAATTTTTTAATTGGTAAAACAAATACTTATTTTTCTTTATTTTTCTGAATCTCTTGAAATTTTTTTATGAATCCCTTCTTTGAAAATTATTTCATCTTTGAAGCCAGTAAAACTATCTTATAAGTAACGCTTCAGATTTTTAGAAAATTGCTGCAAAATATGTCTAAAAAAATTTCCATTTATTCCAATCATACCAATTGCAACAGGTAGAGCTTGAGAGATTTTTTGAAATGCATATATATATATTCATGTTCAAGATGGGAAAATTCAAAAAATTTTAGAAAAATCAAATAGTTGCCAAAGAATTAATTGGGATGAATATTTTTTGATAGTTCTATCAGCGAGCCACATGAGGCTAGAAGGATCAGAAAATGGATACTTAGCATCAGATACAAGAATCCAATACACGGTTTTTTTAACTCTAGATTTCCTTTTGTTAATAATCGCGATGCTCGAAAGGATACTCTAACCAATAAGCTTTTAACGTGGACTAATCGATTTGCTATCGAAAGTACCACAGATATATTTGCTGATACTAATTTTTTTACATCTATTTGCATATCATTATTTTGCATACAAAACCGTAAGCCATTTTACTCACATAAACTGGACCAATGTTTGCATTCAATAATTTATTTAATTAAAAATTAGAACAATAAAAATAATTTTGAAATTAAATCAGATAAAATAAATTTCTTAATTTTTCTCTATTCTAATCGATTAAAATCATAAAAAATATCAAATATTTATTATAAAATATTTAAATTAGAAAACCTAAGCCATCCTTCGTATGGAGCTTCTTCCATGCTTTCTTCGACAATGTTTGTCGGTATTATGTCATCCACCATTATGAAAATTTCAGATTGTCGTTGTGATTTATTTCTTAAAATAAATGTAAATTTGTGAAATCAAATCCATTTTTAATGTATTTTTTATACGTTTCAACGGACTCAAATACAAATTTTCGTCGACTTATATATGCTAAATTGCTTAAACTTTTTCGATCTTCAACTATTTTTTTGAAATTCGCAAGATTTTAAGGTTAATTGAAAGCTATAGCAATTATTATTGTTCTATTAAATAGGACCGTTAAATAGTTTAACAAAGGTTTTTTTCTAGATTAGATTCGCTTCACTGGCTTGCCAGATTAAAAAAAATTGTGCCAGGAAATTACTTGGTGACAAAAGTTCTCGAGCTCGAGTGCCCGAACACCCGAACATCATTCGAATTTTTTAAAAACAAATTTATCAAGAATGATATTTTGCAAGGAAAATTTTTTGCCCTCAGCGCTACGAAATAAAAATAACACCCAATTGAGTCATTCTAATTTGCTTTATTTTATTTTATTAAGCAACATTGTTGAAACGTGGTGCATCTCTAAAATTTTTCTCGATTCTGGGCGCCCCATTTTCGATCGACGTTTAACTTCAACTTAAAGTCACTTAAAATTCGTATTCATCGTTATCATTCATAAAAATTAAAATCTAACAAAGTGAAAATAAATGATGAATATCGGTGAGGATAATTCTATCGTAAAGTGGTTCACTGGAATTCCCAACACAACAATCATCCTATTAGAGTCAGAAACGCTGGGAAAGGATAAATAATAGAGAAAAATGAAACAATTAAACACCACTCGAGTAAAGTTCACTTACTGTATTTTAGTTTCTTGTGATTCTTTTAGCATTTCCAAATATGAGTTCCACTGTTCCATACAATAAAGGCCAACTGGCTAAAAAAATAGAAAAAAGTTACATTTTGATTAAATTAAGAAAATCATAAGTATTAATTGAATTTGAAACAATGCATTTAAATTTTGATGATTTTTGAAAAAGACAATATATATTAAAATTTTCAAAATATACACTGCTGTTAAGAGAAACTAAAGGTTTTTGAGGTAAATTGAAAGAGCTTGGACAACTCGCGATTCGCCGAGAATTTTTTACCATTTCGGCTAAAAATATACAAAATTAAAAAATTATATTTATATTAAATATCATAAATTTCTCTTCCGATTTTTTAAATAAACTGGCTCATAATTTAATTCTATTATTCTAATTAACTTTATTGCCAATTTAAAAACTGATATCACAAAATTACAAAGTATCCGCTCGACGGATCCGTAGCATGTAACTTAGACAAAAGTGGTCAAAAGGCAAATAACTTCTTATACTCCAATACTTAAATACTCCAATATAGGTAATACTTTACGATATTACCTGTTCGCCTTCAATAGTTCTTATTTTTTTAAAAAAGATTAGATGATGGCATATATAAGAAATATTTAGTAAATATTTAGTATGATTTAGTACTTGTTTATATTATTTATATTTATAGTATATTTATATATATTTATACTAAAAGAAAAAACAATAATTTTTTTTCAAACTATTGGTGATAAATGATAGTGATAAAATTGTGTTTTTTATATTTTGAATGCTTTGGCTTTTTATATTGTTCCTTGCAGGTTGCTTTTTTTTTTCTTTTTTATCAGCAATTGGCTTTTTTCATCGATCTGCTTGGTTCTAATTATTAAAATAAATAATAATAAAAATAAATTTATTTATTAAAATAAATAAATTTTTTTATACAAAATTATATTTTTTTATAATTTTAAATAACCGATTAAAATACATAATTAACATAGATAAATACCTTGCAAACTGGAATTTGATAAGCTATTGCTAATGCTGAAATCATAAAAGATAATTCTCTTCAATCTTGATTTTCTTTTCAATTTTGCCTGATTTATTTCAAAGATTTTTATTTATTTTTATTTATTAATTTTTTATTTATTTCAATAAATTTCATTAAATCAATATCGAATTTAAAATGAATTTATCATAATAATATTAACATTGAATGACTGAAAAAGAATGCTTAATCATTTAATACCTCCTTGCTGAAAATATAGTTGGTGTTGATGTTCGATTAACACGTCTTATTTCGTAAGATTGGTCCTCAATTTTTATATTAGCAACTCGAAATCTAAACAAAATTTTTCACAAGAGTGCTGAATATAACTTTAAGTCCGGCAAAAGCAGTTTATTCTCAAAGAGAATACGAATATCTCCACCAACACTGAGAGATTTTTTTTTAAGAGTTCTCACCACTACTGGTTAGGCACACTTCGCTGGCTTGTCGCACTAGGCAAATTAGCCATGGTATCTCTTTTGTCGATAGAAGTACAAGTGAGTCACTAGCATCATCCGGATTTTTGAACAAATTTACTCTTGCGGAGAATAAAAAACTTCAATATCGCCGCTCCGAATTGAGCAATAACTATTGAGCCATTCTCCTTAGTCTATTAGTTGTTGGTTCATCTAAGAAACATTGGTTCAATTCGTGTGTCTCTTGGTGATATTGAAGATATTAATACTACGATTACTACGACTATTCCTTAGTGATTTACTGATAAAAAGATCGCAAAAAATTGGGATAGGAATGGAGAATCGAAATACTTCGATATATTTACATTTAAAAATCTGCATTTCATTTTTTCAGGTATCAAATCAACTTACTCCTCTTTATTATTATTTGCTACAAATGAAGGTGCATATTTAAATTCACAGTTCGTTCCAAATTGTTGCGTTGCATTTTGAAGAAGACTAAAATATGAAAAAAATTCATATAAATTAGGATTTCTGGAAAAAAAAACTATTTATTTTGAGGTCAAAAAGCGATGATACGAAGAACAAATGAAATGAAAATTATTCCACTCGATTTTTGAATAATTTTAAAAAATTTTTTGCAAATAGCGAACCTTCCATCTTGCAAACTTTGAAAATAAATTTGTAAAATCTCATCACAGTGACCAAGTGCCATACTGCGCTCAATCATTCGTTTGCGCTTAAGTAATTGTAAAAGATCGGCTCCACGGAATTTACGACCAAAATAATGTATTTTTTGTATGTACTGAATACCAGCAAGATCAATACACATAGTGGTAACGGCTAATCCAACTCCAAGGTAAATTAGCATGAGCAATATATATCTAGAAAAAAATCAAGAAAAATAATATATTTGAAATTTTCCTGGAAAAATTTCAATTTATATATAACTCGTCACAGATTAAATATAACTCAAAGGAATTATCTTCTTTTTCTAAAAGTTTTGGCTAGGCTGACTCCATTGGCTATAAGGCTAGGACGTTTCCAGGCCAAAAGAATCATACATTTAAATTCACACGTGAATTTACCTGTATTATTTCATTATGCTTTATTTTTATGAATTTTTATGTCTCACTGATTATTTTTGAAAAATTAATTTAAATTTCAAAAATATATAGCTATGCAAAATTTCAAATGCTTACTCATGTCGTTCAGGCACAATATCTCCAAAACCAATAGTGGTTAGTGAAATAAAACCTAAAATTGATTTTAATAAGTATTCATGAAAAAATGCAAATAAGAATTACTAACGATCCTTTTTTCTTTAAATCTTTATAGATAAAATTTCAAAAAATAATAATTTCTTTAAAAAAAAATTACAATAATAAAATGCATCCATATAAGTCCACGATTCAACAATAGCAAAAAGTATTCCTCCAAAAGCAATATATAACTGAAATTTATAAAATTTTCATAGAATTTAAGCAAATTCATCGATGAGATTATTTATTTCTCCTCGAACTAATCGAATCAAATCGTTGCATCATAATTCAATCAAAAAAAAAGATGAAAAAAGAAACTATTTTAAGATATATTTTTATATATATGTAAATATAATATAATTTAATTTAATTAATAAATATAATTTTTGCAAATAAAATAATTTTATAAATAAAATATAAAAATTTTATATTTATTTAACGAAATTCTTATATAATTTATTATCATCACTATCGTTCTTCATAACAAATTTGGTGAATAATAGAAAGATAATTGCCACCGAGTATCAGTACTTCTGTGCGAATGCACTACGTTTTTCGAGCAACAATGTCGTCTAACGAAGGAAGCAAAGCGGAGTAGAATTTCGGAGCGCCGATGCTAAAGTTATATTCTCTGATAAGAGTAAACCTATCCTTGAGAAGATCGGCGACTCATCTATACTCATTCACCAAGGAACTCCCTGTCATATTTAGTCCGACAGCTGAGCGAGTCTAGCAGCAATAGTGAATATTCTTAAAAAATAAAAATAATTTACTTAGATCACGGTTAAAAAATCGAATTCATGGTGCTTGAGTTCCTGTTAATGGTATACAAAAAGCAGCTGTTTCTATAAAAATAAAGACTATAAAAACCAAAAGATTGATCAAGAATATCTGTTGCATAACATACCGAATAGTTATTTGAAATTCTATAGTGAATTTTTTCAAATTTTCTTTCTTTAGAATCCTCACCATTACTGGTTGAACTCGCTCCATTGGCTTGTCCTATTGAGTAATGTGCCAGGAAGTTCTTTGGCAATGGAAATGCAAATGACTTGCCAGCGTCAACCGGATTTTTGTACAGGTTCCTACGAGGAATTGAAATCTCAGCATCGGCGTTCCCCAAGTGAGTAATAGCCCACTGAGCCATTCTATCCCCATTTTAATAAGTTATTGAAATTGATTTAATCATCTAATAACGGATCTTCAATTTCCAATTTTTATATTTTATAATTTAATTTTAGAGAAAATTTGATCAAAAAATCTTTAAGCGTATAAAAAAATTCTTACAAGAAGTATGGCAAAGACGAGAATAACAGGCACTTCTGTTTTATCATTGATAAGCTCACTCAATTGATTCCGCAAATTTCCAGAGACATTACCATTTATCTCTGTTATTACTGTATCTGAAAAGACTTATTTGTGATATATGATATGTGGTATTACTGAATATCAAGAAGAAAATCTGCAAAATAGGCGAGAATTTACTTGTCGGTTGTCGCCATTTATTGCAATATTGGTCAACGGTTTTGCGTATTTTTCTCATCTTATTGTAGAAACAAATAGTGCATTCAGATAAGAATTTTCCCAAATCACCAATCGTAACAATGGCCAAAGGTGCGCCGAACAATGCAAAAATAACGCAAGTTATGCGACCATATGAAGTAACTGGTACAATATTGCCATAACCTAAATAATTCACTAGATTTTATAAAAAATGCTTATCAAAATGAGATTTTTTTTTCTACAAAAATGGTTGTGAAAGATCGAAACCTATGTGAATAATGGATTAAAAAGTAAGCCAATAGCCATTTTCAAAAAGTATAAATATGGACTCAGAAAAAAATATCAAATAAATATTGTCTATAATATTTATAATAATATTGTCTATAACCTATTGTTGCCATTGTTGTGGCAGCAAAAAATATGGCACTACTGGCTGTCCACAACTTTTTACTCTTTTCTGATTTTCTCCGAGATTTCCTAGAAAAGAATTAGAAATTTATCACATGCATTTGGCATAAAAATATTCAACATAATTATCTTGAAAAAATTTGTAGTAGAAATGAAAATAAAAAATTTCGAGAATAAATCATATCAAAAAATAATCTCATATGGAAGTAAATGATTGATTTTAACCATATTTGGCCAAGATTTTGCTAAGACAGAAGTATACTTAGATTCTCAGCATTAAGCAGATTTTTCAATGATATGCTTATTTCATCCTGGAGAAGTGGTCGCTTATTTCATTCCAGAGAATCGTTGCATTACAATAATATAATAATTTATGCAATATTCCATACCACTCATAGTTTTTATAATATTTTATAATATTTTAATATTGTAATAAAAATGGGTAACTTTAATACAATTAAGGTTGATAATATTGTTTACCTGTACCATGTCGGTTGAAGCTCATTAGAAGCGAAATTTTCAGTGGTTGTAGTTTTTGTTAGTTTCTCTCGTAGTATTCTTACATCAGGATATCTTTAAGGTAAAAAATTTATCATTTATCATTTTTCTAATCAATTAGTGATTTGATCGAGAAGATCGACAAACCTGACGAATTGCTCTTTGAATGCTCTATATAAATTTTCATTGAAATATTGGAGTCGTTCATTAGATATGCGTAACCACTCATTTAAAGTTCTACTACTCGTCGTCATTTTCCTTTTTTCCGACATCAGAAACAGGAATTCACTTCGCATTTGATTTATTTTCATGATACCGTTTTTTTTAAGCTATAATTCAAAATCAATGACACAATAATTTATCGTAGAATAATTCAATAAATAATAAATTCATCGTTTTTGTAGTTTAATGATAATCGCAATATTATTATTATTGAAATATTATTATTATTCAAAAAATATTTTAATAGAAATTTCTTTAAAGGTGAACGAAAATATGAAATTTTTGAAAATAAATCGCTATATATTTAATATTGGCTTCTTTTCGCCAACTAACCGATAGAAATTTATTTAATTCTAACAAAGCCAAATGCCGGAATGAACCAAAAATACTCTTAGAAAAAAAAAGCAATCCTGCAGGAGCAATTTAATTAAGGATCGAAATGAGTTATGAAATGAAATGAGTTAAGCGAAAAGTTATTTTTCATTCTTTAATCTTGAAAATGAATGCTAGCATGCACATAGAGATTTTAAAAAAACTTACTCGATCTTCATGTGGTGATTCTAAACTATAAAATATCCATGCACCAATTGCAGCGTATAAGCATACGACGGCTACTAAGGCAACATGTGGTAAGACGATTTTAACATACTTCAATTATTATTGAAATTGTTATTTTAATATTATAAATAACAAAATGATTAAAATTATTATACATAATTCTCATTATAATGCAATAATAAAAAAATACTTGATACTAATAAAAAAAATGTTAATGACTAACATATAATTACAATTAAATGGCAAAATTTCCCTTATCTGATAAGCTTATGCAACGAGTCTAATCAGAAATATTGAGAAAAAGAAAATTCTTAAAATATTGTAAATATGGAAACTGCTATTGAAATAAAAATTTGTCAAAATGATATTTCATGATATTTTAGCTAAATGAATACGGATGAATTATAAATAAATGTAGATCGGAATACTAAAACTATTTGCATTTGCAATAATTTTTTTTTTCAATTTTTTTATTTTTTTTCATCGATTTTAAATTTCAGACGCATAAATTTATTTTTCTTTTTTTTTCCACTTTATTGTTTTGAGATTTTTTCAAATAATTTTGCAAAAAAAAAAATATTAGATTTTTGGAAATATCGTATATATATATATATATATTTATACTTGAGATATTTGAAAATGAAATGCGGCAATAAATATTTTATTGCATATTCTTATCGCTTTTTTTTGGCTAAGCCAAATATCGTATTTTTAAAATTTTAGGAAATTTCATAAAATATTAATTTCAAATTCATATCAAATTCGCCATCTTAAGACTTGCATAGCCTTTTTTAAATTTATTTTTCATAAATCTGATCTCATTTTTATTATTCACTATTTATAAAAATGCACTAAAAAAGGAAAAAAATAAATTTTATATTTTGCTTAATGGTAAATTTCGGAGACTTAATTCTATCATAAAAATAAAAAATAATATGCAAATTGTTGCTGGTGAAATTTAAATAATATAAAATAAGTTGATATGATTAACACAATCATATCAACTTAATTTGTGATTTCAAAGCGAACCTTTTTAAAGGATGGAGGTTCAGATTCTACATTTTCGAGAAGTCCTTGAATCTCTTTAAATTGCTCGGCCATCAATGAATTTTGCGAACATCCGGAATATACTGTCTATACCGGAAAAAGATGATTGTTAAGATCCATAAATTTTAGGTCCATAGATTTTTTTTTGATAAAAAATTCAATCTTGAAAATACGCATTAAAACTGCATCCAAAATTCTCTCGAATTTGCGCTCCTGCAATTTGTTTAAAAAGTATTTTAGCAGTAATTGTATTTTTTTAAATGTCAAATGTCGCAGTTCAAAATATAAAATAGCCAAAACCATAATGATCATTGTCAATAATTTGACCATAAAAGAAGTTACTTTCATAAGTGATAAATGATAAAAGAAGACAAAAATAATGCCTAAACTAGAAATTCACAATTCACAATTTGATAATATAATGTAAATCTTCTTAGCCTTTTGTTTCTAGTTTGTTTCCACTAATTAACAGCATGAGACCGAAAATCGGTTGAGGATGATCAATGCTAGTACCATCTAGGTTTGACTTTTAATGGCCCTGGAATGACATCAGTTAAAAGTAAATTCGACCTTCGATAATATTATTCACAGCATATCATTAATATTATTATGTATGATTTGTGCTAAAAATATTTCAACTTTCTAAAAATTTAAAAAAATTTGAAAATAATGTGAAATATAAATATTTTTTAATAATAATAATGAAGAAAAAACCCGTTATAATTAGGTTTAGAAAAATATTCTAAAATGGACAATTAGTTTTAATTTAGATAAGAAAAATGGAATTTTTTTAAACAATAGCTTGCGTGGAATATTTGAATAGTATTAGCAAACCAAATGCACTTCGATTATAAATTGATAAAATAAAATTCTCTGGGCAAAAATTTTGTCATATCAGTGAGCATGAGAATGCTCTTAGAAAGAATACAATAAAAATGCTGATATCTGAGATATTATAAGTTTGATAAGTGAAGATCAAGAAATTTTTTATCGTATTAATCTTTTTTTTTTAATATTAAATTATAAATTTAAACTAAAATTTAAAATTGAATAAATGTGATTATTCTAAAGGTTTATGATAAGGTTTGATCGTGATAAGATATATTTGCAAAATATTTGATAATATTAATTTTAACTTTAACTTTAGTCATATTAATAGTCTCAAATAATCTTTTTTTCAGTTCTAATGAAGATCATTAGCAAGCTTATTTCGCGAACGCTTTAATGTCGACTGAGCTAATCCCAGCAAAAATTGATCTCTGCAAGACATCTTCAATCGGAGTGAAGTGGAATTACTCAAAATGGCTGAGTATTGCCTGAGATCAATAAAGTAAATAAGAATTTATGATATATTAATCTTGATTGTAGCAAATATTAGTACTTTTACTTAAATGCAAGTTGAAACATAGGTTGAAACAGCAAACTGAAATTAATTAAGCCTCTGCCTGTAAAATTAATTTAGCCATAATTTTTTAAACCGTTGATTATTATAATTTATTGCAAATTTTCTAAGGTTAAATATTAAATAGTTTCTTCGATATTTCAAACTCAATAGTTTGAACTTTTCTAAAACCCTCTATTTCTAGTTAAGAATTTTGCTAGGAAATTATTTGACAATAGAAGTATAGGTGACTAGTCAGAAGTACCCAAATTTTTTCAAAAAACAGTTTTGCTCCTGCGGGAACTTCACCAAAGGTACATTAAAATGAGGGCAAAAACTGTGGTGTGGTGTCATTCTATCGAACACGATTCTTAATTCCAGTGTACAGATATATATTTGATAATTCCTTTATTTAATAAATAATTTTCAATTCCATTAAGACTTTTTATTTTTTTAGATTTATTGTTTGCAAGTGTTGTACTTTTAGCTCTTCTTGATTACCAAATATCACACAAATATTAGTGAAATTTAGTTACTTGTTAAATTAGGAATATTAGTATATACAGCTATTTAAAAAAAATAAAATAATAATAAATTTGTTAAATATAAAATAGTGAAAAAAGATTTATTCGATGAAAATATCGGTTAAAAAGGATTAAAAATTTTTTTATTATTTTGATAATTTTTTTTCTATTTCAAATATTTCTTTATCGTTAAAGTCGTTAGATACCCTCAGCATAATTTATTCCTCATGGACAATATGAATTGCACTAAAAATATTTATAAAAATCATCATTTTAAGGACATTTCGATAAATGATTTATTATTTATGAATATAGCAATAAATTTTTTAGTCTTTAGATTCTACAAATATGATTTATTGCCAACTATATCTAAGTAAATGATAAGTAAATGATAAGTAATGTGATAATATCCCTAGGGGAGATCATCTATCTTGAAAAGCAATCATATAATTTCAATTTAATATTTATTGATTTGAGAAGGTATAGAGTTAAAAGAAAAACACTATAATAATTTTAATTTTTAGAGGCCAAGAATAATTCAATCCCGTATTTTTGCATGCATCGAAGCCAATAATATACAAGTTATAAAACTTATTGTTATTTGCCTAACTCGAGCAGCGATGTCTAGCAAACTTTCTTCATGTGGAGATGTTTTGTCGAGACCAATTTTGCTGCAATCTCACCAATCTCCTTAGTTCAGTTCAATAGTGCACCATAAGCGAAATGAGTTTATTAATGTAGTCAAAATAAAGAAATTAGCTTATTTTCTACGATTAAAATAAATGTTTTCAACGCTTCGACATTTCCCTTTTTATAGAACGTTAGTAATGAAATAAAGAATTGTATAGCAAATTCACAAATAATAGATTAAAATAGAAATACAATTTTATTAAATTAAATTAAACCTGAGCTGTTAAATTCAAATGATCGATTCTAAAAATGCGATAAAAATAATAAATATTGAACGATGAATATAATTTGAATGAGCGTTAAATTATTCAAAATTTTTACTATATGAAAAGAAAATTTAAATTTTTAGTTAATTTAGCTAATTTTAATTTGTTGAATTTTTAAATATTTCAAAATTTTCATAAATTTCTTAGCATTCGAACTAAGAAAAATAAATAAGAAAAAATTAAACGAAACAGTAGAAAAAAATTTTGAATATTTTGACTTGTTTTTAACCAGTTTAATACAATTTTAGAATAAAAAATTTCTTAATTTGAAAAAAAGAATCAGCAATTTACAAACAAACATTTTGCTATTCCCAAAGGTAATTTAAAAAATTTTATCAACGATAACAAAAAATTTATTTTAAGTGTATCGAACGATAAATAAGTTGTGAAATTTAGAAAATTAATTAATAGTTAATAATAAAAAAAAAAGAATCAAAAATAAAGATTTTTCTAGGCTAATAAAGCGAAAAATAAAGCAGAAAAAAAAACAGCATCATCACTCGGGAATCGATTTGCATTTTTTGGCCAATTTCGGGAAAAAAAACCCAATCAATTTAAATATTTTGGCAGCCATATCCGTTTTCCTTATTTCTTTTCGATTATTGGCTTTTTTTTCGAGAAAATCTCATCAAGAATGAACAATAAACAACACACTAAAATATTAATTCGATGTGTCGAAAGTAATGAATCAAAAAATCCGGAAAATCAAAAAAAAAAAGAAAAATTCGCTATTATATGTTATTTTCATATATATAATTAAATCTTCTTCTTCTAGCAGATCTCATCATTACTAGTTAGGCTGGTTCCACTGGTTACAAGTAAGTCGTCTCCAAGCTATTAGGTCCAACGCTTCGTTGATAGTTATAGAAGCCATTCCTTTTACCCAAAGTCCATATATTCCTCTATACGTTCAAACCTCGCTTTTGACGCCATCCATCACACGGTTTAGCAAGTAATGAAATACGCGTCAACTCCTGTGGTGGACCACTGAGAACGTGCCCTATCCAGCAAAGGCGACTCTCTATGATAACATTATCAATGCATGTGGTGTTTGAGCGAAGGTGGATAATTTTATCGGCTCAGCGGACCCCTATAATACGTCTTGAACATGGGTGGTCAAAGGTTACTAGCTTCATAATATCTTTCACTCGCATGTTTCGTAGCCATATACAATTAAACTAAATAAAAAGAAATGAAAAAAAAAGTCTTATTTTTATCAAATTCGAGATTAGAAATGACTATTATATATTATTTTCATATATAATTAAATTTGTTATCATTGTTATCATTTTTTTTGTAAGTAGAATGTTATTTTCATTCCCGTACAAGTAAACTTTGTTGCTGGACTCATTCACCTGTTTTTCAATCGCCAAGTAATTTTTCTTGTTTGTAAGAACAATTGTTTTTTATTTGCCCAGTCTGATAAGCGATACGAATCCAATCAGAATTCGGAAATGACAAAAAAATGGAATAAAATACTAAAGAAATCTAACTCATAAGAAAAAATGCTCTGAATTCGGGATGGGATTATTTTGGTTGTCGTTTAAGTAAACATATATCGCAATCTAATGGCACTCACTATTTTTTGTTTAGTTGACTCCATACGAACTGAAGTGAGATAGCTTTGTCAGAAAGCCATATTTGGATAGAAATGTAGATGAGCACTCAAATCGAATTTTACTTTCTAATGGCATATAATGGCATTTCTAAAAAAAGGAATAAGCAGATGACCTAAATCGAAGTGAAACCCTACTTGACTAGTCTACCCTCATATTTATTGGAACCATAAAAACTAAAATAAATAAAATTTTTCTCGTAGCAAACTTAGTACCATTTAATTATGGTGCAATGCGACTTTCGAAATTAATATCAAAGGTTAAGAAAATTCTAATGAAAATTATTTTATAATAATTTTATTCTAACCTTAATTTTAATTTTAAAATAATTTTCTAAAAAAACCAATTTTGTTAGCACTAAAATTCCATAGAGGTTTGTCAGATAATAAAAAATATTTGTTTTAATAATATTTAAATAAAATTTATGAATGAACTAACGAATTAAATAATGAATTTAGTGTTTATTGCCGAACCTAAATAGTACTAAAATGTAACAATTCGTTTCTTTTTAATGATTTTTTATATATTTATTCGCTTTATAAAACAGGATAAAAAGTCTTTATAATTCTTTTAATTT